GGGAGCCCCGCCCCCCAGCGGCTGCAGGCAGGGAGCCCTGTCAGTGGTGGGGCATGAGACACAACTCCTCACTCCCCCAGGGGACAGCAGCGGAGCGGAGCGTTCAGAGCAGTTCAGGGAGGGCAGCGGGAGCACCCCACCATGTGTGTGGGCTACGCGGTAAATACGTGTCTAGTGAAACAGTATAAGCCAACAAGAAAATCCAGAGATGACCGGTATTAATGATTTGGCAGTTAACCTTCTCCTTTTCCTCCCTTGCAAATGTGCATATATAATGTTTTTAAGTAATTATTTAATTTTATTTATTCATTCACTTATTTTATTTTTTGGAGAGGTTTTTGCTATAGGGTGTGTGTGCTCGCCAGAAAGACAGAGACAGAAAGTGAGAAATCACCCTCCAGGGGAATGGGCATGCTCACGCCAGGTCTGGGACTCGAACTGTGGTCGACTACATGGGAGTCCAGCGATGGAGCCATTATGCCATTTTCTGGATCCTCATTCGCTTATTTTAATTTGAGCAAAGAGAGACAGAAAGAGAAGGACAGTGTGGAAACAAACTGCCAGGTCCAAGATTCGAACCACAATCAGCCATGTGGGAGTCTAGCGCCCTTAACCAGCACCCTACCTGTCGGCCCCTGTATGTAGTGTAAAATGTTTTAAGTATTGGCTGTCGTATGACAGCCTTCCCGGTACACCCGCACGTTTTTCCATAATTGTGTACGCACATTTATCTTACAAGGGTCTCCGGTTACTTGATGCCAGTCACTCGGAACTGCTTTCGGGGCGTCTGCAGGGTATTAGCATGTGACGCTTTAGGCAAGGGTACCCTTTAGGCAGGTAGTCCCCTCCCTCCAGCAGTGCCGAGAGCCAGGTCCTCACACAGATCCCCAGCCTCTGCAGCTCCCGCTGTATTGGGTAGAAGCCTCCAGCGTGCCAGCCTGCAGTCTATGCGAGGCGGCGTTCTCGATGTCGCCAGCCCCTTCCTGGCTGTCCTCCCTCTTGGCTCCCGTCTCCTCTCACTCCCCGTCCGCCCTGTCTCCCATTCAAGGGAGCTGGGGTAGCGCCAGCCCCGACCCTCACACGTGCTTCCCCTTGCAGACCCGTGGGGAGATGAGGAAGAACCACCGGCTGGTGAGTTGGCTTTGGGCACTAGGGGTGAGAGGCCACTGGAGGGGGGCTGCCTCGCACTGACCACCTCTCCCCCGGCAGAAAATCGGCTTCTTCAACCAGCAGTACGCCGAGCAGCTGCACATGGAGGAGACGCCCACCGAGTACCTGCAGCGGAGCTTCAACCTGCCCTACCAGGACTCCCGCAAGTGCCTGGGCCGCTTCGGCCTGGAGAGCCACGCCCACACCATCCAGATCTGCAAACTCTCTGGTACGGCTGGACGGCCGCCCTTCCCGTCATTCACATCTGCGAATACGCCTGAAGGGGGAGGGCGTCAGCGGAACGGGCCTCAGCACCACCGCACGCCTCTGGTCCCCTGGGGTCTGTGGGACGGAAGGAGCGTCATGGGCCTTTTTCTTCTCTGCTGCAGGTGGCCAGAAAGCCCGCGTTGTGTTTGCAGAGCTGGCCTGTCGGGAGCCCGACGTCCTCATCTTGGTGAGTGAGCTGGGCTGCGGGAGAGGGCGAGGGTCGCCGTGGTGGCGGGTAGGAGCTGGGACACCCAGTCACGGTCCTCCTCGTCTTCCCCTGCAGGATGAGCCAACGAACAACCTGGACATCGAGTCCATCGACGCGCTGGGGGAGGCCATCAACGAGTACAAGGGGGGTGAGTGGTCGGCGTGCCCTGGCCCCTCCACCCCGGCCCACCCCGGCAGCCATGCCATCGCGGCCTGGGCTACGGCTCCCCCCACGTTCTGATCGCCCTCCTCTCCTCTCTCCCTGCCAGCTGTGATCGTCGTCAGCCACGACGCCCGGCTCATCACGGAGACCAACTGCCAGCTGTGGGTGGTGGAGGAGCAGAGCGTCAGCCAGATCGACGGCGACTTCGAGGACTACAAGCGGGAGGTGCTGGAGGCTCTGGGCGAGGTCATGGTCAACCGGCCCCGAGAGTGAGCGCGCCTTCCTGGCCGCGGAGTCTCCTGAGAGAGAAGCTTGTGTGGCCTAGAAGTCCCCGCCGCCGCCCTTTCCCCGCCTGGAGCTGCCCCGGGTCTGCGGCCAGCCTGGCCCCCGTGGCACAGGAGCACGGGCCGCTGCCTGGCCTCTGGGGACCGCTTGGGTCGCTGCTTGGAAACATCGTGTGTCCCAGTTCCCTTCAACTAACTGAGCTGCCCTCTCCTTGACTGCCCTCTAGCCAGGGGACCTTGGGGGTTCATCCAGCCAGGGCACGTGCCGACTGTCTCGGGGCTGGTCACTCGGAAGCCCGAGGCGGCGGCCTGGCTTCGCCCACGCTGGTTCTCCGAGGGAGCCCCCTCCCTGGTGGACTCCATGCTGACCTGCTGATAGGAGCAGTCGCAGCTCAGCTGGAGACGGGTCCGGGCCTGTGCTGCTCAGCCCGAGTCGGGGGTCCATGGTCTGGTCGGGGCCTCGGGGCAGGACAGGAAAGCTGCTGAACTGGAGCCCTCTGCGGGAATAAAGGAGTGGGACTGCCATTGTGTCGCTGTTGTGCGTGGGAGTCTCGGCTGCTTTCTCCACTTCCAGCAGCCTTCGGTGGCCCTGCTGCTAAGAGGCGGCTCTAACCTGCAGCCTTACTGCGCTTCCAGCAGTCTCGGTGTTGGAGGGGCCTGTCTCCCCCACCTTTCTCACGATTCCCTCGTTTTCTCTCGGACACTCGGGTCTCACCATCCAGGCTCACCTCATGAGTGAGGAGACGCCCTGCCCTGGGTGCTGCAGGCCTCGGGGCCTTAAGGAGAAACTGACCCTGGGCCAGCGCTGTGGGAGGCAGGAGGGGCCTGATAGCCGGGGAGGCTGCCGAGGAGGGCGGAGTGCCCGGTATGGTGGTCGGCCCTGCAGCGGAGCACTTTGGAGCCTGAACGGCCACGTGTCCGCAGGGAAAACCTGCCCAGGGCATGGTTATTTGGCAGGATCACTTACGGGGGACCTTGAAAAAGAAAAAAGGAAGCAGAGAGCCACATTTGTAAAGTGGGAAGAACGAATCGGCGTGGAAGGAGGAGAAGCGAGCTGTGGGAGTCACGGGGCAGCCGGTGCCGTCAGCTGGGCTGGGGAGGACAGTGCGGGTGGAGGGGTGGAGGTGGAGAGGTGCAGGGTAGGTGAGGGGGCCCGTCCTGGGCTAGCTGAGGAGGGTGGGAATGGCCAGGATGGGTGGGTGGCCAGCGCTCCCCGTGAGCCGGGAGGGGAGGATGGTCAGGAGTGTCGGCGCAGGAATGAGCCGTTGGGCTAAGACTGGCTGACTTTGGACATCTTGCTTAAAGGAAGTAGTTCCCGGCCACGTGGAAAAGGAAAAGTGGGCTTCGTGTCCAGTGCTCCTGCTCGAAGTGCAGATGGGCACGGCGAGAGGACCCCGCAGACCGCAATAAAGAAACGCCTCAGTTTGAGGAAAGAACTCGGTCTCGTGCCGCTGACTCGGTATGCTCCGTGTAAAGGGAGTCCCAGTTCTGCGAAGTGTCTTGGCACAGAGAGCCAGGCTTCAGGGCCACTCACTGACTGTCCTCGGACAGGCCCCTTAGCCCCTTAGCTCCTTAGCTCCTGTTTCCTCCTCTGTAAAATGGAGGTGATGGTAAGTGGGCTCCCGTGGGCCCGCCAGAGGTGGTGTGGAGGTTAAGGCACTGGACCCCATATGGCCGAATCCAGAGTTAAGAGTCCTGGACCTGGTGGCTTGAAAAACATCGGGCTGGGGCCGGCAGGTTGTGTGGTGGTTAAAGGTGTTAGATTCCCACATGGCTAACCACAGTTCAAGTCCCAGACCCTGGTGGCTTGCTTTCTTGCTTTCCCTTTCCCTCTCTCTCTGTCTCTGACAATTTAAAAAACAAAGCAAGTCGGGACCAGCAGTTAGCGTAATGGCTATGTCACTGAACTCCCATGAAGTTGACTGCGGTTCGAGTCCCAGACCCAGTGGCTTAAACTCATGCCGGGCATGTGTGCGTGCGTGCCCAAGGTCCCTAGAGAAGAATGGAGGAGAAGGGATTGCAGCGTGACCATCCCCCCTGGGGGGTGATTTTTCCCTTTCTGTCTGTCTGTCTGGTGAGCGCCTTAGGCCAGCAGAGGGCCTGGAGGCTACAAGGCTGGTCGTGCCTTTTGAGTCACAACTCAGTGGCTTAGAAATCACGCCAGGTGCATGTTTGAGCAGGCCCAAAACCCTGGAGGAGAAATGGAGAGGAGGTTGCTGTGTGGCCATCCCCGTGGGGAGCGAGACCTCACTTTCCCTTTCACTCTATCTGTCAAGCACATAAGGCCCCATAGCAAATTCACCAACAACTTACCACGCCAGAGTCACACACATATGTACATAGCACCACAAGAATATTTTTAAATAATTATGTATCACTACTTTTTAATTTACTACAGGGCCTGTGTGCTCACCAGAGAAAGTGAGAAGGCAAGCTGCGAGGCCCGGGGCTCGGCGAAGGTCGACAGTGTAGGAGTCCGGCGCCGGAGCCACCGCACCACTTACCAGCATAGGAATGGTGTTTTTTTTGGAGAGGTTTTTGCTATAGGGCACATATGCTCACCAGAAAGACAGACAGAAAGCAAGAAGTCACCCCCCAGGGGGGATGGCCACTCGGCAATCCCTTCTCCATTCTCCTCTCGGGATCTTGGGCACGCACGCACATATGCCCAGTGTGAGTTTAAGTCACCGGGTCCGGGACTCCAACCGCGGTCTACTACATGGGAGTCCAGTGACACAGCCATTACACCAACTGCTGGTCCCTACGCTTTATTATTTTTTAAAAGAGATTTTTGCTAGAGGGTGCATGCCCTCGTGAGTAATCCCCCCGTGGGGGATGGCCACTCTGATCCCGTCCCCATTATCCTCTCAGTATCTTGACCGCGCATGCATGTGCACCTGGTGTGAGTTTTAAGCTACTGGGTCTGGGACTGAACTGCAGTCGATCATCTGCGGGTCCAGTACCTTACCACCATGCCACCTGCCAGCCCCATCTTGTTTATTTTAAATTGCCACAGGGTGGGAGCTGGCAGATGGTGTGGTTGGGACCCTGGATTCCCACATGGCTGGCTGGTTTGAGTCCTGGACCTGACAGCTTGGTTTCTCACTTTTCCTCCCTGTCTGTGTCTCTCTCTGCTTAAAAAAATTTTTTTTCTTAAAAATTATTTTAACTTTAATTTATTTTTTATTTATTTATTTTAATTTGACCAGAGAGGGACAGAGAGAGAGATGGAAAGTGAGAAAGCAAGGCGCCAGGTCCAGGGCTTGGACTGCAGTCGGCCATGTGGGAACCCAGTGCCCTTAACCACCACGCCACCTGCTGGCCCTCTCTGCTTAAGATTTTTTATTTTTTAAAATTATTTTATTTAGCTTTAATTATTTATTTTATGTGACCAGAAAAAGACAGAGCAAACATGAAAGGACAGTGAGAAAGCAAGCCACCAGGTTCGGGACTAGAACTGTGGTCAGCACCTCCAACCACCACACCACCTGCTGGCCCCAAATTTATTTATTTTTAAAATTTTATTTTTTTGGAGAGGTTTTTGCTATAGGGTGCATGCGCTTGCCAGAAAGAGAGAGACAGAAAGTGTGAAATCACCTCCTGAGGAGGTGGCCACACCACAATCCTGTCTTCTCCATTCTCCTCTTGGGATCTTGGGCACACACGTACCTGGCGTGAATTTAATCCACCGGGACTTGAACCGTGGCCTACCACATGGGAGTCCAGCAACACAGCCATTATGCCAACTGCTGGTGCCAGTCTCTGCTTAAATTTAGATAAATAAATGATAATTGCTACGGGTGCATGAAGCTGGTGGGGACAAGGGAAGAGGTGAGAGAGAGAGCACCTTCCAGGAGAGGTGGCCACACTGCAATCCCTTCTCCCTCAGGATTCGGGGTATGCACACACACGTGCCTGGCATGTTTTTCAAACCACCATGTCCGGGACTTGAATCACGGAGTTGGTCGCGTGTGCTCCAGCACCTTGGCCACTGCGTCACCTAGCTGGGCCTGGTGCTCACTTACAGAATTGCTCTGGGTGCTGGTTGGGGACCGGGGTTGAGGACATGGAGATGGGTGCCAGGAGACAAGCTCAGGGTCACTCTGAGAAGAAGGCAGTCTTTTTCTTCCTCAAGAGCGAAGGAAGGTCAGAATGTGGACTCGGATCCCCGGAAGACAAGGGGACGCGGTGCTCACACTGGGCAGAACTCGGGTTTTTGTGTGTTTTGTTTTGTTTTGAGAGGTTTTTGCTGTAGGGCGCATGTGCTTGCCATAAAGACACAGAAAGACGGAAACAGAAAGTGAGAAAACACCCCCCAGGGGGATGGCCACGCCACAATCCCTTCCCCTCCATTGTCTCAGGATCCTGGGCACGCACGCACACACGCGCCCGGTGTGAGTTTAAGCCACTGGGTCTGGGACTGGAACCACAGTCACCTACATGGGAGTTGGTGGTCCCTGGACGGGACTCACTTTCTCAGGAACTCCAGAGCCTGGGGTGGCGTGGAGTTAGACATTTGCCACACAGCCATGCAAAGCTGGCCCCGTGCTCGAGTGCATTTCTGCTGGGCCATGGCAGGGGAGCGTGGCTGCTCTCAGCATCCGGTGTGCTGCCAGGAGCAGGCAGGAGGAACAGGACAGCGACTCCAGACTGGAGGTAGACCTGGTACTGCGGGACGGTGACAGACTGTAAGGTTGGAAGCGTGTTTTGGAGGGGAAGGTGGAAATAGGAAGAACGGACGGACTGCAACAGAAGAAAGAGAAGTACCCCCAGGGCTGGGTGGGGAGACAGGGCAGGCCTGGCACGCTAAAGGGGCGAGGCGCTCCGCCTCTCCCACCTGCAAAAACAAAACAGTATTTTAAGAGATTTTTGTTAGAAGGTGTGTGTGCTCACCACAGAAACAGATGGAGAAAGTGAGAAGTCATCTGGGGGGCGGGGAAACAGATGGAGAAAGTGAGAAGTCATCTGGGTTGGGGGTTCATGCCTCAATCCCTTCTCCTCTTGGGATTTTAGGCACACACACATGAGCCCAGCATGAGTTTCAAGGCACCAGATCTGAGACTTGAACTGTGGTTAACCATGGGGGAATCCGAAGATCCAAAGCCTTAACCATTATGCCACCTGCTGGCCCTGAAACACCCCCCACCCCCGTTGGAGAGAGAGACAGAGATAGTAAGAGGGGAAAGTGAGAAATCGCCCCCCAGAGGGATGGCCATGCCATAAACTATTCCCCTCCACTCTCCTCCTGGGATCTTGGGCACACATGCACACGTGCCTGGCGTGATTTTCAAACCATCGGATCCAGGACTCGAACTGTGTTCGGCCATATAGGAGTCCAGCAATGTAACTGCTATGCCATCTGCTGGGCCCAAAACGTCTTCTTTATATAATCTTTACATAAATAAAAAGTAACAGGTCCCTTTTCAAATTAAAATACAAAAAAAAAGAAGCTAAGGTGTCCTAAGGCCTGTTGCAGGAGACAGAGGGAAGGGGAGAAGCGGCCAGTGGAAGAGCCAGAAAGAAAC